AAACTTCGAGTCTCTTTCCTAGGAGAAACACCATGTCCAGAGTGCCTTTTTCGAATTTCTGTAGTTCTTAGCAGTATAAACAAAACAAGAGTGTAAATATTGCCAAGGAAAGCTCGTCCGTGGAAAAGCGCTAAAGTTTGTCTAAAAGGCTTTGAATTTCAGAATTTAGACCGCCTGTTCATGGTCTCAAATTCAAATTCAAATAAAAGGTTCTTTAGACTAGAAAACATTAGGATCCCGCAATTCCAACTCAATTAAGTCATTTCTAATAAAACTTTACTCGAAAGCTCTCTTCTATTGTTCAGTCGCATGTCACACTTAAAAGATGTATGAAGATTGAGCAGCCTCGCGTTAAAAAAAAAACAAAAACAAAAACAAGCAACCCAGAAAAAATGAGAGCGAAAATCGAGTCTCTGTTAGTTTAAAAGTTTTGTATTTAAATGATGGTCATTAACAGATTTTAGGACCTGTCTTGTATCTCATTTTAAAACAAACTATACATGCACTTCTGGTGACGAAGGGGTTGGAAGAAATGTAAGAAATTCTTAAGTGGTATAATTTGAGAGAAACCTCACACATCATAAATCTAAGTAACGTGAAGATAAAAAGAACTTGGACACGTTAGATAAAAATAACCTGTCAAATTTGCAGCGTCATTAACTTAAATGAACTTTACAGTCGCCGAATTGTTTGCGTTATGCTTAGAGGTAAACGGTTAAAATTTTTCTGCAATCTCGTAAGTTTGCTTGCATTTTCCGTAAAATGTTGCTAGATTTACTTGGCCTGATCTTGAGCTTAAATTCGAATCGTAGCTTCATTTGAACCCTCAGTTTTAATGTCTTTCTCGACCAATGGAATCTTGTTTACATTGAACAAATGAACTGCATCACAGATCATCAATATTTGCTCGAAGATTCCAGACTAAAATTATACAACTGTGGACTAGCTGATTTTAAAGTAGCTTTCGTAAGTTTGTATTCAAAATTTACCAAACCCTAATTCGTGCCAAGACGCTAACAATTTATACCGATGAAATTTCACTTTATGATTAATGAAACAAGTATCTTCGCCATTGTTTGGCAAAAATTGCAAACAGAACAATTATACTACTTAAATTCCGGCCCGAACTTTGTTGAATTCATTCCTTAAAAAGAGCCAAACAGAAAAGATGATTTTTTTCTTAATGTTAATTATTATACAATGACTTAAAACAAACGTTGTTATAATACCTTGATGAAAGACAGCATTTTAGCTCAGAAGCAATCAGGCGCTTAAGGACCGCATTTCGGATATTTATCAGCTTTATAGCTACGACGAATAAGTTTGGCTTAAATCCCGAAGAAGTGTTTGGTAAATTTTTGACGGCAAACTTATTAGGGAAATTACACACCAGACCTTTTTAGATTATTTCTATACCTAATTTTTAACTAAGACTTTTTGATAACTGGACTGTTTGTTTTATAAAGGAGAAGAAACACACTCTAAGAGATAATTGTTTTACCAGCCAATTTAGTAAAGCTATCTTCGCGAGTTAACAACACTAGATAAGCACATCAAAGTCATTATTCCACAAAATCTGAGAGAAGCTAAAAAAACCTCAAATATTTTAACATAACTTTGCAGTTGTACTTATCGTTGTTTCCTGACATTTCGATTAGCATCCTGTCGAGCTCCTATGAATTTTTCTCGCCCATTTTTAGGCGGGCCATTAGTCAGTGCATGACATTTATTATGAACATTATTTTTCTTTATCGGTTAGGTAGATAGTTTTTCAAGTAAGCTGTAACTAGGTGGGAATTAAACATGTACTTATGGTGTCCTATCCTCAATATTTGCAGATTAAATATAAGTAAAAAGCATGTTGTGGATATCCCAAAATTTAAGATTCTTCCTCTTCGCCTTTGCCATGGAGTTCGTCACAGCTAAAGATCAATGTAGGAACGATGTATACAAGGAATGGCTCTCAGGTGATCGGTCTTCAGAAGGTGGTTAGTGGCGGCTCCTTACTTCTGCGATGTCAAATGTGGACAAGAGATCACGTGCTAAAGCGATAACTGTAATCGAAAATACCAAATATGTGAACTGAATAACCGCACCAAGGAGGCGAGAGGATAAAAATGTCTTAAACAACGCAAATTTACTCAATGCATAGTTGTTCTCGTAAAACACAATTCCTGTCTGGTTGTTTTCGATCTTATTGACTTGAAAAATGCCAACAACAAAAAAAAAATTTATCTTTGATACCACAACCTTTTGTAATTTTATTTAATTTCAATAGACGAGACCTGAGTGATGCTGATAGAAAGAGCAGTTACGTTACACCAATACATGGATCATCTTTGTGTGACTACTTACTCCCCGAGGGATGGTATCGTTGTGTGGGAGCTGCAGGAACAAAAATGCCAACAATGCATGTGTCAGCTGGCAGTTGTGATGCAGACTTCCCAGGCTGGTTGAATGGTGCTCATCCTACAGTGGAAGATGGTGAAGTTTACGGGAGGGTCTGCTTAAGTGATTGTTCCACCGGTTGCAAATACTCTGCAGATATTCCCGTGAAAAACTGTGGATCTTACTTCATCTACAAACTTCACCGCCCAACTCCTTGGCACTCACGCTATTGTGGTACACACTGAATATGAAGCAAATATACTTAGCGTATAAAGAAGAACTCCTAAATCGCTCCATGGGTACATGTGCAGAAGGTTTTTAACATATAACATAGTTAACCTCTTTTCTCTATCGTGAACGTTATCAGCAGATTTTAACTTTGGTCGCAAACAGGAATTTATTTCATTTGAATGATAATTCTCAGCAGATAGCTTCTGTCATCGAAGAGAATTGCCCGAAGGATCTTCAAAGTAATCTTGAAGTAAAATCTGCAAGACACGAAATCTCAAGCAAATGGTTTTCGAGCTTTTTCATTACGTATTTACGTAGGGAGAAGTTCCCTATAAAAGAACAATGGGAGAGATCATTGTTATCTTAAAGAGCTAAGAAAAGTGATGGATATCAATTTGGATTGTTGTGTATAAAATGCTGTGAAAAATGTTTAATAATCACAAGCCTCTGATGAATGAAGTCAGTGATATAAACGCACAAGGCAGTTAACTACGAAACATTTGCATAATTGTGTTCTTTTTATTTTATGATGGTTGGAATGGTCAGAACTGTTGCCAAATAAAACTTGGTAATAAAACCATGAGCTGCAATTCTACCCATTTTCTTCTATTGCATGTCAGTCTCATTAAATTATTAATCCTCTCGGTGTCATCTGTTTGGAAGAAAGAAGTGAATATTGTTTCCGCACACCACGAATGCGGCTGTACATGCTCCGTACATGCGATTCTACATACTTTGGAAAACAACAAAAAATATACAGGAATCGTGTTCAAAGAAATATCGGAATTTCACATATCGTCAAACCTACTTGTACCACCAAAATTAACCATTACATTGAATCTTACTTCAAGACAATGGGAATCAATCCTTTCTAAAATCCTCTCACTCCATCATGCCTGAGATTTTAAAAGAAAATCGCAGTGAAAAGAGATCAGACATATCAAAATGCCCAATAAGTAGGCTAAATTATCTCAGGAATGGCAAAAAATTTGGTTAAACTTCACTCCTAATCGTACACTTGATCAAAGGAAGTTAATAAGAGAATTTGGCTGTGTTGTCCAAAGAGCTTGGCTAAGTTCACCGCCGAGTTCTGTCCAGTCAAACATATGGATTTTCTTCGCAACCGCCAAACCAACGAGATGAAAATACCTTTAAATACCGATTACTTTTTCAACCGCACACCTTTTCTTTAACATGTTACAGTATTGTTATTATAGAGGTGAATTGCCAACCAGTTGGTATTCTAGGCCCAGAGATTGTCTTGAGCTTTACTTTGAGCCCTACTGGTGAAATGAGAGTGACTTTGCTCTAGGCTGATAGCTCATTACCATCTATCAAAATCAAGACACCTGACATCTCCACAAATGATAATGAGTAAAAATAAATGACTATTGCACTTAGGTTACCTAACCCAAACCACCAAAACTTTCCCCAACATA